TATACCATGCATTTTGTGATAATTGTTTGTTTTTGCTCACAATACCCAGAAAAATGGAGGGGATAAATTTAAATAGCAAATTCTATGGTTAAAATTAAATAACATTGGAAGATCAAATTAACTTTGTACTGTTTAAAATTCAGTTTTGGTTTCTTGCTTATTCCAGCCTCTTGATATTCAAAAGCATTCCTTGTCATTTTTGTGTTCTTCTGTGTACATAACTTGAAAAATAAACACAGAGAAAGGAAACCACAAAGGATTAAACTTGAAGCTAAAGCAAAGTTTAAGTTGAGCCATAGCTGATCCAAATACTGAGCACTTTGTATTGTAACCCATTTAGCAGTAAAGTTTATCTATATGTCTGCCAGCTTGTCACAAGTCTTACCCCTCTCCTTCAAAAGTCTCTATAAATAAATTTTTCTTTGTGGTCCCTAATTGATGATAAGTATATTACAGCTCCTCAATTTTCCTCTCTCAAGACAAGGTTACTCTAAATTTAACAAAGTAATGGACTTGATAAAACTCAAACTATAACTCAGCTGGCTGCTACTTGCAACCTTAATTTCTAGATATCAGTATACAATAATCAATATGTTATAAATAAGAACCCTAATGCTTAATTTTGCAGTGATCACCTTCCTCCTTTTCATTTGCAGACCAGACTGGAACCTCTATAGGTGTGTTTGCTTGTTTTGAGTGGGGATGGAAGAAAAGGAGTCATGCCGCATATCTGATTTATTAAATTGGATTTGTTCTGTTTATACATGAGTAGAACTACCTTGTTCTCTGAAAAAAAAAATTTCTCACATTTTTATCTGTGCTTTGCAGTCAAACTTCCTTGTGTCTTGGACAAGAAATCTTATTTTCTTGAAAACAAAATCTTTGTTTCCAGCCTTCTGTAATAGGTAAATATAACAGTGTAAGATGAGTGACAGTGTATTTCTCAAGTTATTTTTTGGAATGTGACAAAACGGAAGTGTCATAGTGTGATAAGGAGCCAACATATGATTGCTTGATAGAAAGCAAAAAATGCAGAATTGCATATATTTTCTCCTTTGTCAGCAGCATATGTTAGTGAAAAGTTCTTATAATTGTTAACTTCTAAACCATCTTCAATTTAGTCAAGATTGAACTGTTATCACGTTTGTCATAAAAGTATTCTGAGATCAATGTCATATGACCCATTCATGTATTTGACCTTTTGAATTAGCAAGCCATAGTTGACAGAAACACAAAGGTTGAGGATATAAAGAAATTATTATATACAGTACTTCTTCTGCATCTTTTCGTTTCTTTTTCTCTCCAGCTGTTCTATCTATGCCGTGCTGGCAATTGAACACTTTCCTTCCCAAAATTAGGAAAGGCACACCAGTAAAAAACGAATTTTTGCTCCTTAAATATCTCATGCATCTTCCCCCAGTATTTTGTGACTTCTGTCCGAGGAAGGAGGTGTAAGCATTAAATTAATCCGAATGATTCCACAATTGTGGTAGAACTTGAACTAGATAAACTAGTGAGAATGCACAATAGCGATAGCAAAGCTTTGTAATGTCAAATATATATATATGATATATATATATATATATATATATATATATATATATATATATATATATATATATACACCGGTGTTCCCGAAACCTTTGACAGCTTTAAAGAAAGAAAACTTCGTCGTCAATCCTGTTTCAAATTCCGCAATAAGTTTATGCGCCTCATCAACAGAATTTACGTATCCTAAATTATCTGCATGTCTACCATCAATGGTTCGCGACTTAAAATTCTCGCTATGCTGTTTCTGTTTGTTCCTCAAGAATCATGGGATTTACAGCTTCGGATGTTCGGCTACATCACTTGCGGATTTCCGAGAATCTTCGGTTATGTTTTGCAAGTTATTAAATATTCCATCCCAGTCCCTCTCGACCGAGGTGGTTTTGGTAGATGGAATCTAATGTTGACCGTACGAAAATCTGAGTTAGGAGGTTAATCTGTGAACGGATGTTGGTATGGTCCAAGGAAAAAAAATTCTTGTGACTGGAGGAGGAGGATATTTTGGCCACAAGCTGGGGAATGAGCTGAAGAAGTTGGGAGCAGTGGTTGTATTGTTTGACATCTCGTGGCCGTGGGATGATGTTGTGTACGAGCAAATGGAGTGTTTTCAGGTAGAGACTTGATCGGTAAATTACGTAATTCACTTTGATTATTTTGCCAAAACAACTCCATTCGGATCTTGCCTTTGTGCTACGGACAGACGAAAATATTAAATTTTACCATGGGGAAAATGCATGGAAGTTATTTGAATTTGCTGTGTCAGACACCCGGTGGTGGGAAGTCTTTTCTAAACATTATACACCCGCCATTCTAGAATTCTCGTATAATTTCCAATTCACCCTACGAATGATAATGTGATATCAGGAATTAAGTGAACTTTTTTAAAAATCTAATGATAAAGTTAAGTCTCCTTTTATGTCATAAGATTCATATTTATGTTTTAGGGGATATAACAAGTAAAGAAGATATAAGAAAGATATTTATCAGTCATCAGATTGATGTGGTTTTTCATAGTGCATTATATGGAATGTCTGGAAGAGAGCAAGTTAGTATGTTGTACTTATTGAGTGAATGGTAGGGCCAGACAAAAATACATTTGCCTCCGGGTTGTGGATTCAAAGATGTGCAGAGCTCTGTCTCTGTGCTTGTTTCAAATGTCACAATTTAGAGATAAATGTTTCTCTGTCTGCTCTGTCTATTCTGTCTGCACTGTCTTTCTCTAGTCCAACCCTACTCAGTCAAAACTGATTCTTTTAGACTGAAATCCTGTGCAGTGGATGTACCAATACTGCTTGTTGCCTTTGCTCCTTAACTGGAATAAGCTGCGACATGATTGTTCATTGGGTAGCAAGCTGTCCTTCACCTTAAATTTTGTTGATATTGGTATCCATATTCTCCATACTGTTCCCTATACATATCCCATGGTACTGATAAAGAGAATCTGTTTGACAATCAAAGTATTTGTAATCTGGTGATCATTTCCTTTATTCTAATGATCCTATTGTTTGACTCAGGGGGGATACTGTTAGGAGAATTTAGATGCTAGTCATGTTAAGGGATTAAAGGGTGTTTCTCAGTAGGACTGTTCTTGGGCATGGTCCACATTGAGATGGCTGTGGTAGAAATCATCTGGAACTGGAATGGGACTTCCACTCTTCAACTGGTGATGTGTTTGCAACTCAGGCTCTTGTGGCATCTGGATGTATTTTATTGTGAAAAACAGTAGATCAAGATGAAATGAAGGGAAAAAATGGGATCAATTTTAAAATTAAACCATGCTTTATTTTAAATTATTTGTGTTATTTTTAGTTACGCAGAGAACAAATAGACAAGGTCAACATTCTAGGAACAAAAAATGTCATTGAAGGTCTGTAAATTCAGTAACATGTTAAACTTGGCTTGGAATTAAAGTTTACGCAGGAAAATTGTTTGATTTTGAATTATTCGTTAATTCTCTTCAAACAAACAATACCATTCTTAATGAAAATGTCTATACAAGTACATATAATGTGGTGTTTGAAGGACAGGTTATCAGAAATAGAGATGAGATTTTATGCCATATTTACTGCTAGAAAAGGTAATTATTCTGTTATCTCCAGAGTCAAGCTCAAAACAATCACATATACATACAGTAGTCCATTTGGTATAAAGAAACATGAACCAAACCAGAAAGCAAACTCTCTGGAGTATGCAACTTTGCTTTTAAAGAAAACTATTTTTTATACCAAAATTCAAAGTCTGTTTATTTTCATTTTGACAGTCCCATTTACATGATGCACCTGCCAACCTCTTACCAGGCTAACATGTGAGAGATCTCTCTTAAGTAGATTTTTTAACTCCTTTATCTGTGTTATCAAGTTTTCAAAAATGTTCCATGCATGTTCCATGGACTTCTCAAGATTACTGAAGAAGCTCTGACAACTTCTTCAGTTAGAAAGATGTATGAGGTTGTGAAATTGTGACAAAAAAAAAAAACAAACATATACAAAAGTGAAACAGCAAAGTTTGTTTAAACAGAAAACTGGTAGTTTATATTTTTCTTTCAATATCAACTTTTGCTGAGAGTGCAAGGGAAAAGTAGTCATGGATTAATAAATTATAATTTAGGTCAGGTATGAGAAATTTTCTCTTTTGACTTTTGTCAGCATCCTGACCATTATTCCAGAACAAAGTCCATCGCAGAGCAAACTGTTTTGAATGCTAATGGTGTACTATTAAAAGGTGAGATTTTTATATCAACATTGCTTTATTGAGAAAAACATACTTCAATTTCTAATAAATATTTTCCTGGGCTTAATTAGAGGTAAAATACAGAGCAGCTTAGTTTTTTATGTGATACAGATGTCGAGGTACATTGTCAACATAATTTAATTGCCATGAGGTGTAAAACAGTACCTGAGATTCAGAAGTGATCGTCCATTCTGAGAGCATTGTTATTACAGTTTTAGGTGCTTTTGGGAAAAAAATGTGCGGAATTGTGTCTGCATTATGAGAACTGTTATTAAGTACCTAATACCTTTGTTAATTCAAATATTGTATGGGAATGATGAGGCATCATATGAATTAATATTTGTAAATCATGTACTTCAGGTGAAAATAAAGGTTTCAAAAAATTAATAAACTAATCCTTATACATAATGTAGAACAGATAGGTTAAAGTTTATCTTCAGTCTGTCATGTAACTGTTCCTTAAGGTTTATTTTTTATGTTAAAAACCTTACTTATTTACATTGTAATTTCATACTCAGAACTACACTGGAATGTTCAGTTTTTATGTAATGTTGTTGGTTTACTTTCCTTTATTTTATTTTTCTTTTTTCATTCTTCACTTTTTTTTCCTATGTATGTATGTGGTTTGATTTATTGTATGTATGCTGTAACTTTTTACTGATGTCAATGTGTATTTAGTTGTTGTATGTAATGGGTTGTATTGTGAAATAAAGCTGTAATTTAAAAGAAAATTAAGGCAATAAGGATTTTCTTAATAGCCTTTTAACTCCCAGAAGTGATCAAAATGTAACATCTCTCCTAAATATCCATACATTATTCAGCAAACAGGTAATGAAAATATTCAAACTTATCAGGTAGGTCCTATCTTGATCTAAAACCAAATTCTTGTTACCTGTTTACAAGGAAATGTGTAGCAGCTAGAGGGGAGAATTCACAATCTGATCTTGAGAGTTGAAGGGTAAAGATAAGTTTAGGCTGCGGTGCCCCAGGTTTTTTGTTTTTGTTTTGTTTGTTTGTTTTTTTGTTTTTTTTAACTGGATTGATTGAAAAATATACCATCATTTCAAAAACATCCATCACTTTTAGTTCATAAAATAAATTTGACTAACACATTTCCTCTTATTAAACTGAAGGAAACATGATTGTTACTCTTTTACAACAAAAAAAATTGGCTTGTTGTCCAGCAAATACCAAAATTTATCTAAAAAATAGTGAACCCACTTGCAATTCATTTCATTGCCTGGAAATCATCCACAGATGGGAAAATTCTCAAGACCTGTGCTTTAAGACCAGCTGGTATCTATGGAGAAGGAGATTTAAGACATTTACCCAGAATTGTGGTGAGCTTAATGTAAAATTCTATTTTGATTTATCTTGGTGCTAGAATATTACTACTGGTACATTTTTGAAAAATGAAGCTTAAGTGGCCCATAGTGCTGGAGATTTTCTAAGTATGTGTAAACTAGATGAACTGAAATGAACTGCCACTCTCTGCAAATGTATGTAGAACAGTATGGAGAATATGCATACTGATGTTAGGGTGTAAAGGGTTAAGCAGTGTAAGCCCATTTTCTTCAGGCCCTACAGTTGTGTTTTTCTCTTTTGCTTGTCTAATCAGGTTAAAGTTTGGAATTCAGATTTAAGATTTGGTAATAAAAATTTCCTTTTCCTCTCTTTCATTTTCTTTTATCTTCTCTCCCTTGTCTTAGTCAAACAAATCAAAGAAAAAATGAAGGAAAAGAAATTAAAATTTGGAAAGATGTCCTAACTCTAAAGAAATAATAACTGTCTCTTGGAATCATTGCTATTTGGCATTTTCTGACTGAAATTTTTTTTACAATTTTTTTAATAGGTTGAAGGTTTGGGATACAAATTTCCCAAATTAAAGTTGCTTATAACTCTTGTATATATAGTTGGTAAGTTAAATTTATTTATTTTCATTTTTGGACTTCTCAGTTATTAATGTCTTGATTCATATTATTAAGATAAATACTCACATTTTTTTGTTTTCTATGATCTTTCTTCTATCCTTTCTTTTGTTGTTCTGTGCATTAATCTGTCCATTTTTAAAAGCTTATTTAATTAATTTATATGAATTTATTAATTCATTCATGTAGATATGTGTCAAGTTAGGATAATTTTTTGATGTGTATGACTTACAGTTATTTTCAGTTTTTCTTAAGTCCCTGGTAGTTTTTATTTATGTTATTTGGTAATAGGGTATATTGTCATCTGATTATTTCTATTATCTTGTTTGTGAATGACTAAGTGGGGTTCTAGCAGGCAGTTTTTCTTGTTTTAGCACTGAGTCAGGGCATGTGATTGCCTGCAGACTAAATTGGATTTTACATGAACCTATTTCCATTATAACCCAGTTAGCTCTGCAAAACTAGCTCATTGGTCACTACTTTTATCTACTGAGATTAATTAAAGATTATAAAATGATTGGATAATGATTAGTCAGTTATATAATGAGTAAAACAGAGAACACAAACTCCATTAAATAATGTTATTTTTACAAGAGAGATTTTCTGTTTGCAGCATTTTTAACAGAACTGGTTTGCTCAGTGATTGGAAAATATATTTATAATTTTTAGCCAATCCTCATCAGAACAGAGGCACTATTCACCAACAAACTTACAAAACCATACATGAAAATAAGTAGCAATGACTCTATGCCATCTTAACAGTCAAATGGGAAATTGTGTAAAAGTGACAGAGGTGTTTAAGGACTAATAAGTCCTGACAATATCAAAGCATTATTCAGCAAAGATATGATGAGGTTACACAAACACATCAGCTTATCAGATTGTTATCTAGACTTAACACTAAAATCTTCATCTCTTTCCAAGAAAATATAAGGAAAGTAGAATGTAGGAGAACTCTGGGTCAGATCTGGGAAGGTTAAGGGTGAAGTGACACCAAAACATAAGTGACTTTCTGTGACTTTTCAGCTCTTAAACCCATCAACACATGAATTCACCTTGCTAGTTTACATACATTTCCTTTTTCAAATTATGTGATCTGTTCAATTTCTGTTTTATGATCAGTTCCTTGATTCTCCTGAGTATTGCTGATGACAGTGCACTGATGGTGTGGGAAGAAATGAAATGCTGATCACTTCAAAGGATTAAACACGCATATTGCTTTGAACTTTATTTGCAATGATGTACTGCTTTAGCAATGGGGCCTTTCTCTTTAATATCTTCATACTTCAACTGCCTGGAGATGAAGACCTTCAATTCCTTCAAATCGGCCTTTTAGCCCTTTTTATCAGAATGTTGTTGGGAAATTGTGTTGATCAGTGTCATACTGGAAGCGCAAAACCTGCAATTGGTAAGTTCATACAATCACATTATAACAAGACAAAATATTATGTTGATTAAGTGATTGTAATAGAGAAAACTATGAATGAGGGGAGTATGAGTTGATCCAGTTTTAAATTCTCTGAACCAAAATTATGAGACTTGTATGGCAGACAGTAAGGAAAATTACTCATGAGATCTGGCAGTCAGAGAGGGTTCAGCAGGGCTAAGATTTCAGATGTTTTCTCATACCCTTCAATCCCTGATAATCTGTTTCTTATCTCTTTATCAGAGGGTATGTCATGACATCTTGCTGTTGAATGGGGCCCAGATGGCATTAGGGTAAACTGTGTTGCACCAGGTGCTGTGAAGGACACAGAGAGTTTTTGTAGACTAGGTAAAGAATTACAGGGAAGCAGAATCTGCTCATTTTACCTGCACCGAATGCAATTTTAATATCATACAATTTTGGTAAGCTTAGAATAGAAGAGAGCACTTGGCTGCAACTGTGTTGATTCCTATGGTGACCAGAAACAATTTTGACATCCAAAGTTTCAGCAAAAGCATCCTGTATTTGGCAAACATGTGGAAAGCTTCTAAATTGACATTGTTATTAGTAGGTTTTTAGAGTCTAAAGTTTGGCTAAGATAAACATTTGTTTGCTTAAGATGAAATGAATTTTGGATATGTACAATTACTAAAAGAATACTTTTCCTGGCTGAAAGCTAGTCTAAAAATATTTCATACTCAATGTTTAACATTTAATTTACCTTAATCCCTGTTCCACTTACAAAGTAATGCAGTTCACAATTTTCTTTCACTTTAAGTCTGAAGGAAGCTTCAACTGAACTACATCTTCACAGAAGGCAAACATCTTCCACCAAACTTCATTGAGAATTTGTACCTTTACAAAGACTGGTTTCTCACCAAGATGTGGCAGATGGTGTACTCTTTCTGGCAAGTGGTGCTTCAGCTTTTATCACAACAAACACACTGGCAGTAGAGGGTGGAAGTGGATGGTAGTTGGATCACAAATTATGTTTCCATGGCAACAGTGAACAAGTCAATTAGCAAGTTGTGATCCACTAGACTCTGGTGTCCAATTAGTATCTGATGGGCACTTGTGCAAATCCCAATTAAGTGTGAAGTTTTTATGGCTCATTTGTTCTTTAGATTCTAATTATTACTAACAGTTAATCTTAACCCTTTGCATCCTAATATCATTTCCTTTATTCTCATGATCGTAATGAATGATTCAGCAGTATTACAGCAAGGAGAAATTAGATGCTGGTCACTCCAAGGGTTTTAAGGGTTAAAATACGATGAAGTATCATTTGGAAATGTGGAACTTGAATTACACAGTGATGAGAGCACCAGTTGTTGCCAATAGGCCATGGCAGATTCATAAAAAGATTCACTGGAGTAAACTTTTTAATATGTTCAATCACATTGTTTACAATTTTTTTCTGGATATTTTTATTTAGCATGAAAGTTCCATCATCTTGAAGCTGCTTAATAATACTAAAATTTCCCTTACTTTATGATATACCTGCAAATTACTTAAATTTTTTTTTCTTTTTGTTAGTCAAAAGTATAAGATAATTGATTTTGTTGGGCACCTTTAATTTCATATCATAAGAGCCTGAAGACTTGCATCAACCCTAAGAAAATCTCGAGAGATGCCCTCTTTACTGCCTTCTCATCTTAGGTTGGAAGTATTCATGGAAAGCATGGTCATTTAATGATAAGTTTCTCTTCACAGACTCATTCAAGTTTTCATAACTTCGTTTATTCTAAGAAAATGTGTCAGTTAAATTTGTGAAGTAGCACTGAGTTTATTAGCCAAGGATGAAAAACTGTGTGATAGTTGGCAGGTGTATTGGAACAGATTTGTGATTGATGTCTGCTCATGGCAGGCAAAGTTTGGTAAGTGGATATAGAATAAAGTGATATAAATTGAATAAAATTGATTTTTGAAAATAAGCAACAGATGATTGCATTGACTGGTCTTAGCAGACCCTTTCTTTGACCTGATTTTAATAGCTATTAAGCTAGAAAAGATTTATGCAAACACCCATTTCCATTTTTCTATATTTCTTCCTATAGTTGAGGGAGGACAAAGGTTGCAGCTTCTTATTAAGACTATTGCATTGACTTTAGTAACATTAGACATTTCTCTCAGCCTTGAAGAAAATAACTAGCCAATTGAAAGATATTTCATTAAGTGATACTCCTACATGTAAGACCTCTGACATTACAGAGTTCCATACGAGCAGCAAATTTGAATGTTCAGTAACTCCCCCCCCCTTGACCTGTAAAGCATGATGATCCTTTTTGCTACATCACTGTTTGGTATTTTTCCTTGCCTTCTGGGGTCTGGTATGGACTGAAGTGCTCTGAAATACTGGACTAATCAATGCATTATATATTTAACAAATAGATTCCAAGTTGCTGAGCGTCTGTTCAGTGATAGATCATTGATGATGTCAAAATGTGGTAAGAACAAAAAAGTGGCACACCAGGTGTAACAATCTCCTAGGAACAACAGATGTAAATTTCACAAATTTTGCTCTTTTTCTTCATTTATTAAGTGACTCCTTTCATTTATATAGAAAATTTCTACCACTTTTTCATTAAAATACTTAAGATGGCATACAGTAGCATTTTTTAACCCTAAGCATTGATGCCAAATTGAAATCTATGGTTCTCATCGTTTTACATCCTACTGCAAAAAGTTAAATCCAGGTCACTGTGAAAAAAATCTTACTTTAGTTAGGAAATAGCTAGTTTTACCAATCTAGAGAGGAAGGAGATTAAACAGATCTCGATTTAAGTCAAATTAGATTAAAAACAAGTACATTAAGTTTGTTACAGTTATCTATACAAGACAGTTATCAATCCACCTAACAAAAATTGAAAGTAATTTCAATTTACTCGCCGGTAACTATGAGTTACTAAAGTCCTTGAATATCTTAAACATTACAATGAAAGAATAAGCTGAAGTTTGTACATTATACCAAGAAATATATAAAAACTATGTGGTTAAGCCTTTAACTCCCAGAAGTGATTAACATGTAACTTCTCCCTATATTCATAAATTAACCATGAAACAGGTAGTGAGAATACTCAAACTTATCAGGTACAAGATGTTACCTTGATTAAACACCAAATTCTTGTAACCAAATTACAAGGAAATTTGTAGCAGCTGGAAGGGAGAATTGTCAATCAGATCTTGGGAGTTAAAGGGTCAAGCCTTTTCTATAGGTAAGCCTGCAAATTCAGATGTGTTTTTTGTACTGCTTCTCTCCACCCAAGCAGAGAGGAGTGATAACCATTCCTAGCCAAGGTTAGTTAGTCATTAAAACTAAATGCATGCCTATCTGTGCTGTAGTATAACACCTTTTAATGTTTTCTAAAAGACGAGTTTTTCCTTCAGAGTAAAATGCATTGTAGTGTGGGAATTCTAAAGGACACATGTTTCCTCTACATGATCTCAAAAACTGAATCTCTAATATGATACACACAGATTTGCCACAATATAATTGGTGATGATAAAGGCAGTTTCTTCATATCCAAGGATCAGTTGTGGGAAGGTCCTGCCAAGGGAGGCATGCTCTCGGATGACTAATCAGTCCTATTCTTGATAGGCAGATCCTAGGACATCAAGGGCACAGGAAGGTAGGTCCTGTTGGATCCTGCTCTTGTGCTTCCTTTCGTCATCTCCTCCTCTCTTCTGCCGCCTCTCGTCTTGTGATCTCAAAATCTTGTGCTGCTCTTCTTGTTGTTAATCACCATGCTGCATGGTTTTCTGCAAGCTGTTCCCAGTGTTTGGGGTTGATGCCAGCCTGAGTCAACTGGCCCTTCAGTTAGTCTTTCCAGAATTTTCTTGGAACCCCTCTGTCTCGTTTTCCATCTGATAGCTCCTTTGGGATTCATGTATCAGGCATACTGGAGACATGGCCAGGCCATCATTGTCGCAGCATGAACGTGGCCTTCATACTGGGAAGATTGGCTTTTTCCAGGACTTCATTGTTGGTTCTGTAGTCCTGCTATCTAATGTTCATGATGGAGAAAAGGCAGCATTGCTGTTCTAGGCATTTGATTTGCTTTCTGAACAGTACACATGCCTTGACCCCTTACGGGAAGGTATAGATGACAACAGCCTTATATACCAGAATTTTGGTGGAGAGGCGAAGAGAGGGGTTTTGTGTGAGGGTGAACACTATCTTCCAAGTCTTACATTGCCTGCACATTCCAGCAAGCCATTTTCATATTCATAGTCCTTATCTGTTTCCATGTCTGTCTTTTAGTTTATACTAATAAATTCTTTTAACTAGTTTTTACTGCTAAACTAGGGATGCCCATTGATTGGGCCAACCAACTGGGTAAATGTGAGACAAACTTTTTTTAGGTCATCTTTACTAGACCCCTCTCTATTCAGGGCAAGCAATGCAACCCTAGAAAAGGCTGCTAGGTTGCTTGGGGTGAGCTGCTTAGTCGCTTGTCTCTGTTCACAAGCAAGTGACCATGTTACCCTAGACCACCTACATGCAGAGTTATTTCTGCAATTTCAGCGCCATCTAGCACCTGTCATTTTTGCCATGCTCCATCACTGCAGGTCTTTATTTCCTGCCTGCACTCTGTATGTTTCAAGTGAGGACCAGTTCATGCACATCAATCCCACTCTTTAAGCCCAAGGAAGATTTACAGCACCTCAGCAGGTTGAGAGGCTGTAAGATTCATAGGGCTGTAGCTTTTATAACAGAGGTGGCATCTCCTATCTTCTGGCTAAAGAGCCTGCTCTCAAAAGAACAACGACTATTTATCCATAGCTAGAGCATGGGTAAAGGACTCTCTGTCATGTCCTTGAACCCAGGGTAATTGCATGACTTAATTGTCCATTACACCTGGCACTAGATAGGTTTGGATGAAGTAGTCCTTCTCTTAAGTGGATTACCCTCACAGGCTATCGAGCTCCACCTGCCCGGGCTAGGGCTTTAAAGGCGGCCCTTTCTCGCCTGATGTACTTGTCATGGGATTTATGGAGCATTTTATAGAGGAAGCAGTGCCATCTGCAGCCTCACCCCATCCTGGTAAGTACACCGCCACTTTGGTCTGCAACTCCTTATCCACTGGGAAGCCAGCTTATTTGGAGCTAACCTTCAGTGAAGGCCTTTCACTATCTGCCACCTTTCACCTGATGGGCTGGGGATGGTTGCCACGGATTACCATCAAGATAAATGCAAACTTATGAGTAATTACAATTAAAGACAATAATCATCCAATCCATTATAAATGTAACAAAAACTTGGAATTTCTCCTATTCATTTAAAAACTAATATTTATTACATCTAACTACACCTGTGCAAGTATTCTTAAAAGTGTGGGCCTCTGTGGCCTTTCACAACATTTTAGTGTGTGAGAGAAAGAAGATATTCTACAGCTGCTTTGTTTCCCACCTCTGCAGCCCACATTAAGGGTGTGTTATCACGACCATCCCTGGAATTAGGGTTGTGACCACGCTTAAGCAGCATCTCAATGGCTGCAACGTTACCACTCATTGCTGCAGCAGATAGAACAGTCAACCCGTCCTTACTTTTCAAATTTTCATCAGCACCCTCTGCAAGCAGATAGTTTGCAGCCTCCAGTTTACCCTGTCCCAAGCAAAACAACAGTGGAGTTATACCAAGGACTGTACGACTAGCATTTATGTCAAGATTTTTAGAGAGCACAGCCTTAATAGTAAGAGCATTGTCAGAAAAAGCAGCTAAATGGAGCAGTCCAAGGTCTGATGTATTTCTAAGTAATGGATTAGCACCTTGAGCAAGAAGATATTCTACAACCTCTGTATTTCCAAGACGTGTAGCATGCATCAATGGTGTGTTTCCCTCACTATCTCTAGCATCAATGTTACAACCATGTGAGAGCAGCATCTCAACGGCTGCAATAGAACCAGCTACTGATGCAATGGACAAAAGAGGGAGTTTTCCCGGAGTGGTTTTCAAACTTTTATCAGCACCCTTCTCAAGCAGATATTTTGCTGCCTCCAATTTTCCAGATGCAATGGAAACCATCAGAGGGGTTACACCCAGAGTTTCATCTCTGGCATCAATATCAAAACCTTTAGAAAGCATGGTCTCAATAATGATGACATTGCCAGACTGAGCAGCAAAATGGAGAAGGTTCCGTCCATCTTGCCCTTTCAGTAATGGATCTGCTCCATGTTTAAGAAGACAGTTTACAGCCTCTATATGTCCACAAGCTGCAGCACGGGCTAATGGCGTGTTTCCCTTACCATCTCGTGAATCAGGTCTGAGATCATAGGAGAGTAACATCTCAATTACTGCAACACTTCCTTCCTGTGATGCAATGTGTAAAGCATTCCTCTTTTTATCTTCAGTTGTCAAAGATATATCTGCACCCTTTTGAAGAAGATATTTCACAATTTCAATATGGTTTTGCTTAACAGCTATTATCAATGGGGTGGCTGAACAATCATCTTTTGAATTAATGTCAATGTCACAAGAGAGCGCTCTCATCACAATGGAAGAGTTGCCACCTTCAGCTGCTGCATGAAGCAGATTTCTTCCCATAAAGTTTTTAAGGTGTGGATCAGCTCCCTTGCTGAGAAGAAGGTCTACTGTCTTCTCTTGTCCTGTAGCGGCTGCCATCATTAAGGGTGTTGTCCCATCATTACTCCTTGAATTTATGTCTAATCCAGAAGATAGCAAAGTCTCAATTATAGCTTCATTACCACCCATTGCAGCACAGTGTAAGGAATTACACCCACTGGTTTCAACAGACACACCTCCTTTCATGTCAGAAGTTTCTGTAGCTGGCAAGGGAATTGATTGAGTGTTGTTATCAGCAAAAGAATTCATGTCCTCAAGAATGCTCAGAGTATGTTTAACAGCAGCTGTTGATAAATACAACAATTAATGAAACAAGAGTGTATGCGACAGTTTTGAAAGAAAGGTTCAGGGATTGGAAATTCAAGACTTTGATGCCCAATTTTCTCTAATTAGTTTACATTTTTTTGCAGTTTAAATCCAAAACAGATGCACCCAGAGAATCAACTTTACATTCTGAACACTGGCAGCATGCATGCCAATTAATCCTTTTACTTTTTTTCACTTAAAGTGATTTATTGAAAACTCTGTGGGTCAGTCCTCCCTTCTAGGTGATACAAGGTTCCCAACCCACCAAAAAAAGTTATGTTGAGTGAAATTACTGCAATAAATTCTCTGATCCTCTGAAAAACTGTTAATGACAGATTTCTTTCATGAAGCTTTCATCACCCAAACTATTTGCTCACCACACCACAGCATGGAAGTAACACCACTGCATGATCTCATTTCCAGCCTCTTCTTAAATAAAACCATATCTTAACTCAAGTTTTATATTCTTTTCCTTTGAAGGTGCAAGATTTTGGATTTCAACTGGGAAAAATTCTTTTTTTACTTGGTGGAAATGATACATGCTATTGATTTTTTCATTGTTGGACATACATGTATTGTTTGATTAACAAATTGATGACAGAAAGATGTGAGTTATTATGGTTGGATGGATGGACTAATTAGTTGATTGATTGACGGAATGGAATGGTATAATAGGCTCTTGTTCAGTCTCTTTACACTGATGAACATCAGAGTTTTCACTACTCTGGACAATTAGTCTTGCCCCTAAGTCTGCAGATAGAGTATTAAGTAATTAAAAAATATATCCAAAAGTTTAGGAGAATGCCATCAACATGGCATATTCTGTGAAGACGTACAGGCATATCAATTCATGTATCATTTTAGCAGTCAAGGAAAAATATGGCTCCCTTACTGTCTTAGAACTTGAATTGCTAGAATGATCATCCATTTGTTATTTTGTTAACTTAATTTTAGAGCTGCAATGAAATGAACCCAGTATCTGGAGAAAAGCATAAGAAGTCTGATAATTTTGGATTTTTGGAAAATGAATTTGATAAAGGTTTGGTGAAGTCACATTGATTATGGACAACTGAGTGCTACATTATAGGTAATAATAAAATATCAAATATGAACATTGATTTCCCACAAAATTTGCAACTTTTGGCCACCACTTTTATTAAGAACAGTTACTGTATTGTATGGCCATTACCACCAACTTATAGACTTGGATTACCAGTTTTCTTACATGTAAATTTGTCATATTCCATAAGACTACTGTCCCTATAGCATTTAGAAACAACTTCTAACTGGTAAATTGAATATTTAACGCAGAACATGTGAGCTTTGTCATTATTTCAAATTTTCTGCTTTCCTGATGCAATATGAGAAAACTTACCAAATGCAAGATTGTACATCTTTTCGACAAGGAAATTGCAAGGTTCCTCCCAGCTGAACTTCTGCAAATAGTTTTCACGAAGACTCTTAGCCTCTTCAAGTCGTACATTCCTTTTTTTGTCATGCACAGCTTTTATTGCACTGGCCCAGGGTGCAGGATCCTCTGAATCTATAGCAGACACTTTAATACTTCATCCAAATTCCTGACTCATACAATATAAAGCAACTTTATGATAAAGGAAAATGAAGAAACCATTCTCCAATCAGGTGCAAACATAAGAATTTCCTGCTTGCTGCAGGATCTTTTTCAAGTTTGTGAGGCCATGTTAGAAACTTTGTGTTTGTGTAGTTACATATTATTTTACATGTTTACAAACAAAACAATCTTTTATTTCTATTGTACCCCTTTATTATAGACTCTCTTCATTACAGACACTAAATCTCCCCCTCATGGTGTCTGCAGTAACAGGAGTTGACAATACTTGACAAAAAGTAACAACTAACATAACTGCTATAAGAATTTAAGAGCATTCTATTTATTACCTAAAAATTTTAGTTTTCACTAATCCTGACCTTCAGGGTCTCTTTTCACTCACCTTTCTTTTCCTGAAATTTCATAGTGCTGTGTTTTACTTCCAGTTTTTTTTTTTGACCAGCAGTTGACAGTACAGTGGAGGGTGAGGTACCAAAGGGAAAAGTACAAAGAGCAAATCATGGTGTTAGTGACATGAAAACATGATACCAGGTCACACCAACATGTGATAAACTGACTGTATACCATGTACAAAATCTATCTAAACTACATCACTGTCCGTTGTTTGAGCCATAATTTAGGATCAACATTAAAAAAACTTTCTAGTTTATTATATAAACTGTTTCACCAACCCCAGCCAGTCTATCATCTTAATCCTCCCTTATAGCAAAGGAGAGAGTGAGGGAAAACTAAATTGGGTAAAATTTCCACTCAAAGAAAATATTTTGAATCAGAACTAAATGTATTTAGAAGCATTCTTAGTTTAGTTTTACCACTGAAGTTAATTTAACAGCATCATTTATTCACCTTTCATTCTTTGGAGTTTCATAAAGATAATTTAGTTTGAGATAATTCTTCGAACATTTATCACATAAATATTAAAACTGTTTTTATAAAGCTTTTTTATAAATTAAGGAAAGATAAATACAACCCTACAGAGAGCAAAATATTGAGCAAGACATGTTAGTAGGAAAGATAACAGGTTACTGGGAAGAGATGTTTGAGGAGGACAAAACATCACATCAAATATCTTGCAAACAAATTACCTCTTGGTTATTACATTCTTTTTACCAACCTGTACGTGTATCTCTCTCAAAGAACAATTTGCATGCATTGTATTCTTTTATGTCCATTGTTGTCTTCAGCCTTAGCTCAGCCAGGTTCAGTTCCTTCAGGATCTTTTCAGTTACAAAACAATTCTGAACCACTTCACCAAGACGACCAGATAAGTAATCTGTCCACAACTCCTCCAAGATCATTAGAGATTCACACTCAACCGTTATCACCAAACTTCCTTTAGAGACACCAATAATAATGATCTTCATTTCTTTTGCGAATTCCTTAAACCAATCCCACTCTTCAATGGACGTTGGCTTCGTGGTATGGTAAGAATCTTCAATAATTGAAAGAAAAGTTTTCTCTTTATGAGCAAGGAGATCTTCTGTCTGTGGATGAGACACACTTCCAGATGCAGCTGATGTAGCAGATGCCCTAGGCTGCTGAACCTCTTGGCATCTCACAGACTCTTTTGCCAACAAACCAGTCTGCATATTCTGTTCTTCAGGTTTCAAGTCTTCCACCTCAACTTTAACATTCAATTGAGCACCTGTTAAATTGAGTTGTTTGGTGTGTGCATTGTGAGTAAAGGAGAGGAAAAAACATGTGTTAACTTTAAAATGATACAATGAATTAAAGGCAAACCTTTCATATCAAGGTTTGGTAGAGTCACACTGTTTACGGACAACTGGGTGCAACATTATAGGTAAGGATAAAATATCACAATAAAATGAACACTGCATGATTTCTCACAAAATTTGCAAGGACATTATCATACTGATGAACATGATCAGTTAGTGCTAATTCTCTGTGGCTCTTACCACTGGATGAACATGCCTCTTAACTCTAGTTTTATACTCCTTGCCTTTGAAGGTGCAAGATTTTGGATTTCAACCAGGGTTTAGTGGAGTCGCACTGATTAAGGACAACTGAGTACATTATAGGTAAGGATAAAATATCACAAAAAATGAACACTGACTTTCCACAAAATTTGCAAAGACATCACCATACTGACGAACATGATCAGTTAGTGCTAATTCTCTGTGGCTCTTACCACTGGATGAACATGCCCCTTTATTCTCATGTTCTGAAGTTTGCTTCTTTCCTGAAGTAAAGATTTGAAAACATCTAAATGTGGTAGTCTCACATAAACTTGTCACAAACTACAATTTTTGGCCAACATTATTATTAATAACAGTAACATGGTATGACCATCAACACCAACGTGTAGCCTTTGATTACTAGTTTTCTTACATGTAAATTTGTCATATTCCATAAGACTACTGTCCCTATAGCATTTAGAAACAACTGCTGACTGGCAAATTGAATATTTAATGCAGAACATGTGAGCTTTGTCATTATTTCAAATTTGATTAAAACTTCTGCATTCCTAATGCAAGATGAGAAAAGCTTACCAAATGCAAGATTGTACATCTTTTCGACAAGGAAATCACAAGGCGTCTCCCAGCTGAACTGCTGCAAATAATTTTCACGAAGAGACTTAGCCTCTGCAAGTCGTACATATCTTTTTTTGTCACGCACAGCTTTTATTGCACTGGCCCAGGCTGCAGGATCCTCTGAATTCACTATACACTGTGACCCATAAGTCACCTCCTTTAAGGCTTCTGCAATTCCTGAGTTACCACTGACAAGTACTGGAAGACCAGCAGATATGGCCTGAAGAGCACTCAACCCGAATCCCTCTGTTTTTGAGGGCAGTATGGCAATATCCACCACAGAGAATAAGTTTGCTAATGTTTCCCTGTCTTCATCTAAACTGCAGATACTTAGCTGATTACGACCAATACCAGACTGAAGTAACTTGTGTTTTAATTCATCTTCTTTTCCTTTCTGTTTGGAAGCAAACTTGAGTTGGTAAGATTTATCCTTTAGCTCAGCAATAGCTTTTGCTGCAGTATCGTACCCCTTAACATCAAAATCTTCACTATCACCACTCTCAATTACCAAGACACAAAATCTTCTTCCTTCATCACTTGCTTGCTGCACATCTGAAAATTCTGTGAAAACGCTTGGCGTCAGGTTAAAAACATCTTGTTTTCTGAGTTGGTGCTTATATGCATCAGTTAGCTTGGGGCCAATTGTTACAACTTGATCTGCCATTTGACATAATTCTATTTCTGTTTGCTGCTTTTGTTGACCTTGAGAAATGTCTCCGAACATGCCAATTTCTTCAGGGGCAGTATGGACAACTTGAATCCATTTGCAATGACTGTAATTGGAATTTCTCTTTATGACTTGAATTTGCCGACCAAGAGCTACTCCATGGCCTAGAACACAATCCATAGTATGGCCTTCAGGTACAGAGGCTAGCCAATCAACTGGTTCAAAACCACCCAGTTTAACTGCTTCAATGAGTTTAACATCATAACTATCAGCATCTCTCTTGTCCTCTTCACTACACTGAGGTAAGAGGACACTGACTTCCACATTGGGATGTTTAGCCATCTGTATTGCTAGCTCTCTGTTGATGGTTGTCAAGTCTCCGTTGATTGATGCTTTCCATTCAGCACTCAAAAGGGTTACTCTCAGTTTTCTTTCCTCAGCATTGTTCTGTGAGCACAAGATTTTTGTGACTTAGAATAATACAATTGAAGGTATATGAATATAAAAAAACTAATTTATGAATTATTTTTACTTTTAAAAGACACTTCATGATTTTCAATTCTTTTAGTAACTTCACAAACTCACCAAACTTGTGAGCAAAATTTCTGTGAGACAGTAAAGAACAATTGTTGGGGATAGTGGAGTTAGTGTGATACAACTGTGTAATCTCATAATCTAAGAAGTGACCTGCATTCGTTACTGGTTGATATCACACAAAAATTGTCACACACAAGTTTTTCCTTGTCAAATATTCAGAGTTTGGTTTTGCATGATATAGCAAACTTTAAATCATTCAATTCTAACCAACTTGTATGATCGTTTATTATCTTAAAAAAGTGTGAAACATGAGACCTAGAACACATTTTTCCTTAGCTTCGATCATCCAAAAATAAAAACTTACTACAGTCATCTATTTGGACTCTTAATCTTAAACTGATGTGAACTTATTTTACTCTCTTATAAATGTTTTTTTCCTCGTCAACCTCCTACTTGGTAAATACCAGTAATATATGTAGTTGCAAAGTTTTGTATCTGTAGGCAAGTAATTTGCTCCTAAAGTGAGAGAGTTGGCAGGGATGCACTGATGTGAAGTGAAGTGAAGTTTCTTTAAAATGAAATGACACCAGAGTGAACAAAACAACTTGGTCACAGCTGTGATTTTCAGACACAGTTGTTTGATATGCTACCTTTGATTGTCCCGACATCGCAGGAGCCTTTTATGTTGGACAGGTAGTTGCTAAAATAAAAATCACAAGAAAATGAATTACTTTCATTACTTATTCACAAAAAAATGTTAAATTACTAACTGTAGACCACTGTGTTAAATGACCGCTGGAAATTACTGTTGCTGGCATGTAATCATATTGCCTTTTTTATAAAGTAAAATTTGTTCCTTCTGATCAGCAAAGAGAAATGAAGTTTTCAGGTAACAATGTAGAGGAGAGGTACTTCAGTGCAAAAAAAAAGGTTATTTTAAAAGTGCTAAAGATTTGACAAATTGTTTCACAATTACCTGCAGGGTTTAAATAAATTATTCTGCATGCCATTCCTGTAAATATTTATGAAAAGCTATGACATAGTTTTGTCATGTGTACAATCAATATGTAATCACAAGATTTTTGTCATGGATTCTGAAATAAATAGGCACTCCTAAATTTATCCTCATCCTACAATATCTAGATTGCTGAGAAAATGTAATTTACTCCAACATGACCCAAGAAACAGTCTAAACAGAAAGCAAGGTTCCTATATGCAGTTATCAACAAAATCTTTCTTTTTCATATTATAACTTAGAGTGTGGGGTAAAATTTCCATACAGCCCCTTACTATTGTAAAACAGGGCGTGAAATTAATTATTTTTTTCTGATAGCCACTTGGCTCCTAAATTCTTCAAAGTGGTAGCCAATTCAAAAGAAGTTGGTCGCCATTTTCAAAGACAAACAAACCCTTTTTTTTTACGCTGTCATCGTTCTAGAAATTAAGTTAGGGAAAAGATCTTTAACGTGCTACAAAGTGGACACTAGGATGGATGATATGCAATGTTCAAGCTCACCTAAATCCAAGATGACGTCTAGTGATCGATCTTGATGCATGTGCTGCGTTTTGGAAACAAATTTAACGAGGAAGTTTGCCTTGGATTTATCTTTGCAAATCTTTTTAATTTACTATATCTCTAGGTAAGGTTATGATGAAACATTCTAGTCGCCAATTTGGCGACTAATTTTCAGGATTTGGTCGCCAAAGTAAAAAATTTAGTCGCATTGGCGCCTGTATTAGGCGCAATTTCACGCCCTGTAAAACAAATCTGTTTTCCCAATGGCAATGCATTGTTTTTGTCATTGTTTTCTCTATCCAAGAACTGAATACATAATTTAGGATGGGGTTGTGCCGAAATTTTACCTAATAGGTAAAATTTCCGCACAACCTCATCCTACATTATGCATTTAGTTCTTGAGTAGAGAAAACAATGACAAAAAGATTACATTTCCATTGAGAAAACAGATTTGTTTTACAGTAGTATGGAGCTGTGTGGAAACTTTACCGAGTTTAATCTTAAAGAAGAAAAATCTAGAATTGCTTACAATTGAATGGTAAATATTAACTCACAGCATGGGGTAAAATTTCCGTACAGCCCCATACTATTGTAAAACAAATCTGTTTTCCCAATGGCAATGTATTGTTTTTGTCATTGTTTTCTCTATTGAGAACTGAATGTATAATTTAGTATGGGTTCTGTGCCAAGACCAAACACGAAAGAACCAAAACTGAAGATTTTAATCTTAAATGAGAAAAATCTAGAATTGTTTACACTAGAATGGTAAAATTTCCGTACAGTCCCCAACTACATTATGCATTCAGTTCTTGGATAGAGAAAAACAATGAAATAAACAATACATTGCCATTGGGAAAACAGATTTGTTTAACAACAGTATGAGGCTATGTGGGAATTTTACCCATCTTAATAAGCCAAGAGAATATTTCAATATTCTCTTGAAAAAGTCGTACATTTTTCTCTTGCCTTTCAAATGACCTTCAAGTGTAGCATCAAAATTCTTTCTCTTGTCCAGTGCAGTTAAATATTATGGTTGAACTGGAGTAAAATTTCTGCACAGCCTCATACTATTGTTAAACAAATCTGTTTCCGCAATGGCAATGTATTGTTTTTGTCACT